CTTTTTTTGCTCCCGATCCGATTCCGATCATTTGATTTTGACAATCTGCCGATACCGATTTTTCCCGATCCGATCTTTATGCAATGCATTAAGAGAAAAAAAAGGTAACAGATAACGGCTGGTCATCCAACGCGATGAATTCAGCTATCTTGGCTGTTATTTTTTTGGCCTTTTCACTGTTCTAGGGCAGCTTCTCTTTCCTTTTAAAAGTCTCTGAAAGTGTCGGTTGTTTCAGTGCCGTTACCTGAGTGGCCGCTGTGTACTCGTCGTGTTGTTGTTGGTGTTTGTTTCTCAGGTGGCGTATTAGATTGGTCGTGTTGAACGTAGCTCTGTTCTTTCCACCACGCGGAACCTCCGCCTTGCAAACATTGCATCTGGCTGTTACACTGCCTTCGCTTTCAATTTTATAATACTTCCAAACTCCTGACATTTTCTCTGTCCCGACTCCCGAGTCACCAGCTGAACGTAGCCTCTTGTTAGCTTACTGCTACTATTAGACACTGCACCCTGCCCACTCTGTTGCCAGATTTGAGAGAAATAAGCAACCAGGTCTATGAAAACAAGCCCAAAAGAAGCAACACATACATGATGTTGTGTAATTTTAAACCAAAACTAAGGCCTCAGGATGACTTTAAGACGTGAACATGGTCATTTTTGTTTTGTAACATTAAATAAAATAATAAAAATATTTTATACAAAAAAATAAATAAAAAAAATTCCCGATCCCCGATTTTTTTCTCCCGATTCCGATCTTTTGAAAATCACGTGATCGGCTCCGATCCCCGATCACGTGATCGGATCGGGACATCTCTAGTACAGATGTACGATTTCACAAGAGCTGACGGAAGGGGGTCCAGGACACAGGTGGAGGGCTTCATCCTCCTAACGATGCCCTCAACCTCTCGCTGAGAGATGTCCGTGAAACAGCGAAGAGGCTGGATTGTCCCAGGCTGTGGGTCAGCAGTTGGAACTGGAGGTGCAGAGGGGCTAGAGAGGAGGGAGCGGATGGTGTCAACTTTGTTTGTGAAGAAGGCGGCGAAGTTGCTACACTGCTTCTCAGTGGAGTCGGAGTGTAAAGGACTTTGGGGTTTGAGGAGGTGGTTAATGGTGGAGAAGAGTTGCTTGGAGTTTCCAGTACTGTTGTTGATGAGGGAGGAGTAGTACTGGGACCGTGCATCTCTGAGGGACTGTGCGTAGGCCTTCTGGTGTTCACGATAGGCTAACTGGTGAACAGTGAGTCCTGAGGCCTTGAGCCGCCGCTCAAGGACACGCCCAGCTGTCTTCATTCTCCGCAGCTCGCCGGTGTACCAAGGGGCTGAGCGTGAGAAGGTGACCATCCTGGTTTTGAGGGGGGCGTGCAGATCAAGGAGACGGTTAAGGGAGTGGTTGTAATATGCAACTGACTCATTTACTGATGAGAAGTTGGCGGAAGATAGATGCTGGAGGTCCAGGGTTGATGTTCCTCAGGTTCCTGAAGCGGATTTGGCGTTTGGGCATGCTGAGTGGGGACTGGAAAAAGAGCTCCATAGAGATGGTCCTGTGGTCAGACACCCCCAGGTCATACACCAGCAGATTGCTGATGGGGGCGGAGTTTGTGATGACCAGGTCGAGCGTGTGGCCCTTGGCGTGTGTGGGGACCTTAACATGCTGTGTCAGATTGAGGCAGTCCAGAAGTAGCAGAAACTCAGTGGCAAAGTGGCATGAGGGGGAGTCGACGTGAATATTAAAATCTCCAAGTATGATAATATTGGCAGAGGTTGTGCATAGCGTAGTGAGAAGGTCTTGTATCTCTGGGATAGTTGGGTTTGGGTGGCCGGTAGATCAGAAGTATTGTCAGGGCGAAGGGGGGTTTACATTTAAATGCAAGGCATTCAAAAGAGGACAATACAGGCAGGGGCAGGAGTGACAGTTCCAATTCCCTTCGGTAGATGACAGCTAGGCCTCCACCACGACCAGTGCTGCGGGCTTTCTCCAAGTAGCTGTAGCCAGGAGGGCAAGCTTCATTGAGGGTGGAGTAAACCTCTGGCTGATGCCAGGTTTCCGTGAGGCACATGAAGTCCATTTTCTCATCAGTGATGTGGTCATGAATGAAGGATGCTTTATTACTGAGGGATTGTGTATTCAGAAGTTCTATTTTGGCTTTGGAAGATGTGGTGAATCTCTGTAGGGGCCGGAGTAGGCTGTATCCACTCCACGTTTTCCAGACTCCTTCGTGTGTGGCGGTCTCGCGATGCTCTCCGTGTATTCATGCAGCGGTCTCGCAATGTTTCTGGCGCGATTTGACCCCGCCATGACCGGGCTCTGATGACGCGTCAGATGTGCGAGACGACGGCAGACAGAGTGGATGGATGGAATTTCTGCATCTCCGTGCTGGGAATATACAGTTTGTCTTCTTCTTTGGCTTCAGTGGATATCGCGAGGCCGACGAAGAAGTCCAAGTTGTTTAATGACTGAGGTGCAGGTTGGAGCATTGGAGTGGTTGAAACTCAGGAGTTGGGGAATAGAAAACCTCAACATGTCAACATGTCGGGCGCCGAAGAAGTTTGGTAGCGGTGCTTAGCAGTGAGGGCTAACAGCAACAAGACAGCCGGAGGGCTATCCCGTTAGTAGACCTCACGTCTGGGAATGAAACAGAGGATTGGGAGTCCGCCTGCTATCACAGTAGTAGCGGGAGAGAGGCAAGCAGTCAGCCGGAGATAGTCGGCGAATTTGGGCGATACAGCAGGTGAGTCCCGACAGCCGTCGGGTCCAAAACCGTCAATAATCACGAGGTTTAAGATATAAAAGCACTTGTTAAACAGACTCAAAGTTTAGCCATATAACTATAGCTTAAAAGCAGATAAAATAGCTTAAAAGCAGATAAAAACCCTGAGGCATAGGAGAAGCGGCGAACAGCCCCCCTTTACCACCTTTATGGAGGAAAATAGAGAGGGTTGTGTTTTCTGACACTTGGTGAGTTCCCTGGAACACCGGGGACACATATTCATGTATAAAAGACGTACAAAAGTGCATTTTGCATGATAGGTCCGGACCTATCATGCAAAATGCACTTTTTGACACAACCCTCTCTCTTTTCCTCCGTACCCAAATCTCTAAAAATGGGGGTACAATGGAGCTGATCCAGATTTGCGGTGATTTGACGTCATATCGGCAATGCGGACCCACAGCACTATCAGAAACAATGCCCGACTGTTTTGGACTTAATATGGTCGGTGTTTACATTAGCATCGCTAACACTCAGAGCTAACCTGTACTGGAGAGAGCATGTGTGTGAAGAAGCAGGAAATAAAAAGGAACTCACCTTGTGGTATAACCGGCAAGAGAGAAAGCCTTTGAGCTCCATACTGTTTCAGAAATAATCCTTGATAATCCATGATATGGCGTTTCATCACCGCAGTATCTGCCGGTAGAATCTCCCGCATGAGCAGGCATAAACTCCTCTTTTTTATCAAATGTATTTTCTTTTTTTTTTAAAGCTTTATACATAAAATCAGCACTTTTGAAACAGGAAGTGAAATAGAGGGATATGAGGCATGGCTAGAATGGGTGATCTGTTTGGTATTTTGAGCAAAACACTTCATAGACATGTTTTTTATATTTTTTTATATATCTGAGATTGCCTAAAAATAGCATGATAGGTGACCTTTAACATAAGCATCCTATCCGCTAGCCGCTAACCGCTGGCAGCTAGCTGCTAGCATGACATTGCAGTTTTCAATACATAACCACATAACTGAAAATAACCGCCCATCCTAAACAATGCACTCTATCACAATATATTCGTAACACTGTTATTCATTATACTGGGCTACAATTGTGAGATTTTAAGGACTTTAAACCTACCTGTTTAAGAACACGAAGAGACAGAAGATGTTTCTTTGTGTTGAGCTTGACTGCAGTGTTTATTCTGCAGCGCCTGCCTTTATAGAGTTTTTGGTTCCACCCGAGCGCTATCGCCCTCTAGGGATCAGTCTGCATATTGCACAATATAGTTACAATGAAATTGGTATTTTAATTATTTTTTAAGACTCATATAAATAAATAAATATGAGGGGGTGAAAATTTGTCGACTCTGTTGCTAAGCTTTAATAATAATACCATTTTTGTTTTTAATCCAGTTTCTACGTGGTCCAAAAAGTGTGATTTGACCCCAAAATCATTTATACAGTATAGGGCAAGTGAAAGAGATTTTATAGCAAATAAATGATATTCTCAAGCCCTCTTGAAAAATGGTGACAAACACAGGGGCAGCAGGTGAACATAATGAGACCATCAGGCACAGGAGGTAAATCACAGGAAGTAAGACACCAAGAGAAAATAAATGTCAAAATAAAACAGGAAAACAGACAGACTGTGATACATTTTCCCTTTGGCATGATTTACAAGCATTTGCCTTGACAACATCACTAGTTACTTTTAGAATATCAGCATTTTATCAACAAATATAAACATTTTATGAACGAATAAAATATACTGTATGATTCATTACTATCAGCAGTATATTAAGTAATCATCTCAATGGACTCATACAGCAATTTTGATCTTGGCTTTATTAAAATGTCAGATTTAAGTTATGGAAATATATGCTAATTAGCACACATTCAATGAGCTAATGCCTTATTTGAATATTCAAGAAATAATTGTCCAATTGTAAATGATCCACTGGGTTAGCTTTTTGGTGAAATGTATTCTTTAAACCTTACTATATTCACCTGTAATGTCTTCCCTCAAACATGATTAGTCGCTTTTTAAACAGTTTTAACATGAAAGAAAAGGCTTGAAGGCTTACAATACCCTCCAAGCATTTCCTTTTGGCTGCATCCCAATGCCTATAACATGAGCATTCTATGGTTGGTAGGCTTAGTGAAGGTGGCTTTCTGCCTCTACCATTTACAGCACCCACCTCCTGCCGCCCAGACTTCGCTGCTTTCCGTAGCGAGCTGTCCTCAGTGCCAGGGGGCCACCCGACCGTCTTTAAACATGGAGACCCTCTCGTTAAGCATGCTTTGTAGGTGTCTACTTTATGATGTATTATGATCATTTCTACACCAAATCAATTTGGGATTGATTTGTTTACTGCACCATATTGTCTTTCCTTTATTTGTCACTTTATTAAATGCAGTATACGATCATTTTGGGTAACACTTTGGATAAAAAAACAGCATGGGTATACTGAGGGGTTATTGATTACATAGAAGTCGATGGCAAAGTTAACATGGAGTTTCAATCAAGATTCATTTATTTGCACAACCAAAACCCATATAGTTTAAAAGGAACAATTCAAGTAATAATATCCACCACCAAAAGTTATATAAGATGATAAGGTCTTTTTACAATTGTAACTTTTTAACACGGCTGACTTTTTAAAATAAGAACATTCAGACACCAAGGATGTAAAGATCTCCTGCGTTGAGTTTGTAACTGGCTGTAGACTCTTCTTTGGTGATGCATTCATCAGGTAATAAGGGATTACAAATCCAATCAGTTTCTGTGAGGATGGAGATACAAAGCAATTGTTACTACACTGGTCATTTAATTTACTACATGTACTGGAATTTCAGTTTCAGGGTATTTAATAATCAGAACAAAATTATATAACACTGATCCCAGGGTAGGAACAAAATAATTCTGTTTTTTCATTCACTAGCTCTATGCTTAAGCGTCAATAAATATATACTGTAAGACATAACATGGGCATGCAAAATCGAAATTCGATCATCATGTGTGGATCAACTCAAATTGCAGGATGGTTATTTTACTATCCCAGTGTTCAAGTTGTGTTTAGATGAGTGTCAGCATAGTACATTAGAAGCGTAAGTGTACTAAGAAACAATGAAGGTCCTGAAACATAAAAGCTGAAATGTTCAGTCCCCAACACCATGGTGGTTTAATCTGAGAACATCAATCACTGTTGTCTCTGATTAAAGGTGGCTTACCTTCAGTACTGCCATGTTTTAGTTTTTAAGTTAAAGCATGCAGCTCTGTATCAGGAGTAGGGGTTTCAGGGTAAAGAGTCTTCTTTGGTGGAGAAGATTGCAGATCGGATGCAGGAGTGCATAACGTTTTCAGTCTCTATGGAAAGAAAATAAATTGCCAGATAATTGCCTACAAAGCATAAACTACAACATAACAGTACCCACTGAAATCCACCAAGTTAGCTTCTGTAATGATTCAGATTTCGGTCAGTCCATTCACATATAACATATTGTATATATCGACAGAGTATCGAAGTAGACCGAAATGAAATAAACCTAAACCTAGACTGTTAAGCAGGTCTCTGTAATAAATCACTCAGAAAACTGCAACTGATCCAGAACGCTGTGAAAACAGTAGTAGCTGTGATTCAGGTTGAGAACATTAATAACGTTGACAAAAACCAGAAGAGTAGAACACATCACCCCAGTTCTTAGATCTCTGCACTGGCTACCAATAACTTACATAATCGATTTTAAAATTGTATTACTAACTTATAAAGCACTAATTGGTTTGGGACCCTAATATAAGTCGGACATGCTGCTCTGTTACGAGCCACCCAGAGCTCTCAGATCTTTGGGGACGGGCTTACTCATTGTTCCCTGGATCAGAACCAAACATGCCGATGCTGCATATAGTTTTTACGTGCCTTTGTATCTGAAAATGTGCTATATAAATAAACTAACCTTAACCTTAACCTTACCTGTCTCAGTGTTCCCGGGGTTACAGCCATACGATAGATAATCCACAGAGGAGTCAGGAGAACTGAAGATAAAGCAAGAACCATCCCAATGGCAAAGCCCCACCAGGGGTACTCGTAGGTGTTGTTGTATTTCAGCGGGGTGAACTTGACCAGAGAGAATATCAGTGTTCCCTATGACAAAACAAGTGGAATAAAAAGAAAATCAGAGGAGCAGCTTACATTTTCATCAATGGATATATATATATATATTTATATTTGTCTTATTGTCATTTTGATATTTTTCCGGTTAATGTCTTAAAGGTCCCATGACATGGCCATTTCTACTGATCATAATTCCATTGTTGAGGTCTACTAGAATAGATTTACATTGTTCAATGTTCCAAAATCACATTGGTTTCTCATACAGCATCTCTGTATAGTATGTGTATTCACTCTCTGTCCTAAACGGCTTGTTGGAGCTCCTGCCCCACCCCCCCCCCCCCCCCCCCCCCCTCCCTATGAGCCTACTGTGCTCTGATTGGTCAGCTCGCCCACTCTGTTCTGATGAGTCCACCACCGTTACAGCGGAACATCAGTGTCATGTGTTACAATGGCGTTTGTTAGCAACCAGAAAATGACACCAGTAATGACAAACAGATGAGAATGCTGCGTGGGGTCTGGGTGCCGTGTTGGCAGGACGTTGCGGGGCTCGCTGCTGCGCCCTTTGAGGCTCGAGGAGCGGCCAGTGTGAGCTGGATTACTGGTGTCGTTTCCTGGTTGCTGCGTGGGGTCTGCGAGACAGCGAGACTCCGCGGAACTCAGCCTGAGCACACACACACACTCACAGCCTGCGGAAATCCGTGGAGCTGCATTACGTCACTATGACCGTTACGTCACTATACTCAGGAAGAAAAAAATGGAAAAAGAAAAATCTCCAACGAGGCGTTCTGGGGCAGCACAGACAGGTCTTTTCTGTGTTAGAGTTTTACTCGCTACAGGGTGTACTTTGAGGGTTTGTGACTTTGCAGACCGTTTACATGCATAAAAAGATACATAACACACAAGGGGACGGGTAATAACCAGAAAATCATGTCATGGGACCTTTGAAAAATAGATACACCAATACTCAATACATTTACTTACAACACAGAGACATGGTGTGATGAACTTCCAACAATATTTCATAAGCGATGAGGGGTAGTAGCCAATCATTTCCTTTATATTGTCATAATAACGATCAGCACCTTGTAGTCAGGGAGTCATTCAAGAATATGATCAAACACTGGGATTCATCTACATCACGATATAAAAGGGCAAGGTCTGATGCCTGGCCACGTGCTCATAAGGACAAGGGGGAAGAATTTCAGCACTACTACTGAGTCCTTTACATTCCTGAGAACGGTCTCAAGTCTTTCTTCTTTTGGTCCAAGAGGAATGAAAGCTAAGTTAATGTGTAAGATAGTACTGGCCTCACAGATAGGCGGGAAATGTTCTGCCCTCCAGGCAGTTGTTCAAATGTTTTAATGGCTTTAGCAGTGCCCTCTGGTTACTTATGCAGTGCAGATGAAAAAAAACTTGATAAGTGAGTAAAATGAGCAAATATCAATACAATGTTTTGTTAACATGATTTGTAATATTTTACAGTATCACTGTTATTCATAATGGTATAGTTTTAGGGGCTAACATTACTTAACATATATATACTGTATGTCTGTTGGACTCCTAATTTTCCTTGCTTAAAATGATCTTGTTGCTTACCATATATCCATCCCACACAGACGCACTCCAAAATGGCAAAAATCATTATTGGTATTCCACTGCAAGCATAGTAATCAAACAGCAGAAATACATAAAGTCCTCCCTACAGCACATGACAGAGAAGACAGAAACAGGAACACAAAATAGATTGTTTTGTTAAATGCACAAGATATTTAGCACGGAAAGAGAGACTTAATGGTACAGCCTTTAATTCTTAATGTTATAGATTAAAAAAGTAGACTCTCACCTCAGTCACCATAAACAGGCCAATAACAAAGGAAACACCACAGATGATCAACAGAAGTAGTTTACGTCGATGACCAATAAGAAAGAAGGATGGAAACATGTCTGATATGGCTGTCACCAGGCCTTCCAGATACACAAACTGTGGGTAAAAGATAAATGTTACATTTACATTTTCTACACTGATTATAACAATTACGTTTCTAACCATTCTCAGGTCTTAAAGGTCTCCTATTATGCTATTTTTAGACATATATTATGGGTCTCAGATATATAAAAATATATAAAAAACATGTCTATGATGTGTTTTGCTCAAAATACCAAACAGATCATGCATTTTAGACATCCCTCATATCCCTCTTTTTCAGCCCTGTTAGAGAAGTGCTGATTCTGGGTCAGTAGCTGCTGGTTGTCTGACACTTGGTGAGTTCCCTTACACATCGGGGACACATATTTATGTATGAAATACATCAAAAAGTGCATTTTGCATGATAGGAGACCTTTAAGACTTTTGGAAATGTTTTAGTCATGACTTCAACCAACAAGGCAGTGCATATTCTGTCCAAGCATTTACTGTAACTTAAGCCTGATTGCTTATTTTTGCTGATTGCTTTTATGTATTTGGATACTTAATATCTCTAGATCTAGATATCACAAGACACAACCATTGAAAATATCTTATGGAATATTTGCACATGAAAAGCAATACAAATCAATCAAAAGTAAAAGGAAATAGAGATATATTGATGTTGTCTTTTCATGCAGGCATTTAATTATAATTAAAGTATCAGGGGGGCTTATAACCAAATGTTATACAATTCTTATGTACAGTATATTTTAAATACAGCTGAATGTGAAAACTTTACCTCACTGTCCAATCCAAGAAGGATAATCATGATGAAGAAGAAGGCAGCCCAGAGTTGAGGTAAAGGCATCATGGATAAAGCCCGAGGGTAAGCAATGAATGCCAGGCCAGGACCTGCAAGTAGATAGCTAAATGTCTTAGGAATTAGTACACTTATAATTTCTATATATAGCACCTGATTTTAAGGTTGGAATTAGACCAGAACCTGCTTAGTTTGAGTGATGATGAGTTATTCAAACGAAATCTTTTATTTCTGGCCCCATGTACACCAGCTGGTATTCAGTAGGTTGCAATATGCAATCTAACCACGAGATGGCACTATCATACACACTGGTCGTAAAAAAGGTGATAATATTTCTGTGTTGTGTTTACAGCGAGTTTCTGCTGCCGCCAATGGGTCAAAATATCAGGTGCTGCAGGATTTGATTTATTAATAGATTTTATCTTGGATTATGTTTAGGAAATAAGGAATACATTTAGAGAGTAGAGGGTCCTCATAAGTACTTTACAGGTACAAGAATGATGTTCTTGTGAATTATAATTGAAAGAACCCTGCAGCACACATTGATTGTGAGGTCCCACATGACATTATGGGGACCAAAATCCAAGTGTTTCTTCTCACATGTTATTGTGAGACTTGAATTTGTTAAGTTGTGAATTATATATTTGTTCTCTTCATCTGAAAAAAACAAAACAATTTATTCATCACTTAATATTTTTCATAGGAACACAACAAAGCTAATATACACCGCAATGTTTTTTCCTCAAACCATCCCATACCTGATTCAGCTACTGTGAGATGTCAACACCCAATTCATGCGACATGAAGCCAAGAACAGAGAAGACTGCAAAGCCAGCAACAAGCTGGTTAAACTGTTTAGTGTGCACAAAGCGAAATTAAAAAGGACGATTATGTATTTTATCCTGCATGACATAAACCGTTAAATGCATATAATGTACAAACATAGGATACAATGTTATCCTTACTTGTAGCAGTTGTTGTTGTATTTGTTGTAGCTTCCCATCGCTTGCAAACTGCCTACGCAAATGCAATAGGAGAATAATACCTGGCTCCCAGCATCCATCCACACCTTAAATCAGTTAAATGTGCAGTGCCAGTGATTTTTAAATGCTTTTAAATATTGAAACATATGATGTTTATACTTGTATAACAGGGGTCGGCAACGCGTGCCACCAATGGCACGCGGCACCGTAACCAGTGGCACACTAGGAATAAGTGGAATAAGTGTACAAAATGTTTATTTTATTTTTGGATCCTGAACAAGACCGCCGCCAGAGCGCGTCTCCCCGTTACCTTCAGAAGGAAGCCATGCACGCAACGCAGCCCCACTCTCTTTAACTCCAGGCGACTTTCTGCCGCTTTCCTCCGTAATGCAGTGCTGATAGTTTCACCACAGAGGAAAGCACTTTACAAATTGCAGTACCCATAACGAGCTGTACAAATGCCGCAGTTTTTGCGTGGCGATCGATATCGGCCGATACTCACTCTCTGCCGATCGATCGGTGCTCTCTAAAAAGGCCGATCGCGAGACGTAACATACATGACACTTTTCTCTGTGTGCGTCAAAACAAGCTCGCCAAAATCGCTTCACCAGTCTGGCAGTATTTTAAGGTGTCCGAAAATGACAATAAAATAGCGGTGCAACGTGTGTGAAGCAGAAATCCTGCAGCTCCACCCGCTGTGACGGACCGGTGAGCGGAGCAAAACACACAAGTTAGACCTAACACACTTAGCTATTTTATCTACCTTTGGAACTAGTTATACATATATTTATTCTTCACTGTCACTCATTACTGGATCAGTGAGCTGCATGCAGATACTGACAGGCTGTCAGGAGAGAGAGAGAGGGGGAGAGAGGAAAGAGAGCGCTTCCGCTCATTTCTCCCGTGTTATTATCCAAAGTTAATGTAAACTTGAATAATGTACTTCATTTGAATGTAACAATTATGTTGGTTGTTTGTGGAAGCGCCAGTGAATGAGCCCCATTAACTGAGTTTTAAACATCACTTTTCACGAGTGTTTTCGTCGAGCTCTTCATCCCCCCCCCCCCCTTTGATAATTCACGATCGTCGGCACGCTGATACATTTTTTTTTTTAGAATGGCACTTCATATCAAAAAGGTTGCCGACCCCTGTTGTATAATATACAACTATACTTTGTTATACTGTGTACTTGGTTCAGCCATTTAGAATTCTACCTTTCTGTCCCTTTCTTAAGCCACATTTCCACTTCCATGCATGTCTTAGAAACTCTAACAAAATTTGTATCTTTCCTCCGGATGTACTCAGACTTTCCCACATGTCCTATTTGACTCCTACATCCTCCTGCTCACATGTTCATCTTTCCCTATTACTCCCAATAGTATTTTCACCTTCTCCACCTTCTCATTGGCAGATCATCAATTTTGCTTTTTTCCTCTGGTAGACCTGAAACCTAACTTGTACCTGCTTGTATTCCTGTTAATGTGTGATTGCTCAATTCTCCGCCTCTGGGCCCTGACGGCAAATACCCTGTTCCCTTTAGTTTTCAGCCAAGCCTTTATAATAGACAAAAACACTTCTGGTCATTAATTTATGGGTACAGCACGTAATGGTAAATTAAAGACCTATCTTTTTAATTTGGCTTCTCATTTTTAGTAGTATCACTGTACATGTTTTATTGTTTTAATGTGTTTACATATTTTAATTATGTTCCTCATTTGTTATTGTCATTATTTGTGTCATACTCAGTAAAGCACTTTGGGCATGAAAGGTGCTATATTAATAAAGTTTATTATTATTATTATTATTATTATTATTATTAAAAAATTGTTTATTTATGTCCAACGACTTCCAAGCACTAAAGAAATCTAAAACTCTACCATAGTGCAAATGTCCTTTTTATCTGCTGCGCAAAGGTTTGGTGACCCGCAGGTCAAATCCTAAAGCTGTTGATGTCCAAATATTTCAACCAATGTAGTCCGATGTTTAACAAGCACATTCTTTTTATCCACCAATATTTTTGAAATACTAACTCTCTCTGTGCGCACCGACAATTTCACATGATGTATAGAAATATGATAGTGTGCTCAGTAGAGTGCAGATGTATTGCTTTTTTAATCTAAATAAGTGATGGGCTGACCAATGTTTTCACATGATGGGTTCCTTCAAGTTGGAATACGTAAATATTATAAGCATTACCAAGTTTGTTCCCAGCTTTCTCACATAATCCCAGCACAGATTTCTTTGCCATGAATTGCATGGCAGTAGAAAAGGCAAAGAAAGTCTAGGAACTGGTACAAGATACATGCATTGCACCTACTGGAGACCACCGGTAAGAATCATCACTACCTCAGTTTAGCGGTACATTTAATTGATGACAAATAGCAACTTCACTCATTTGCTTTAGGTGTGGTGAAAACGGAGGGAATGCATTTTTGCTGAAGCGTGAGCCGCATAGTTCCACAAGAGTGGGACATAGCGGTCAAAGGTCACCACTTGTAGGAACAGATAGTGCTCGCAATATGACATACAAGCATATGCCCTGTGTAGCACAGATTATACAGATGGGATTTAGATCTTTCTGTGATAGCGTCAATGTTTTAGCTAAGGGTCTGGAAATGGTCAGACTTCATGCCAATAATTCAGAAAACTAAAAAACTAAGCTTCAATGTAATAATAAAGGTAAAAAAAAGGATTTGTTTAAACAGTTTGTTATGCTTTATTTATTACAACACCACACATGTGTTTGTTTTATTACCCCCCAAATACATGTTTACCAGTTGTTGGTTATTTGAGATTAATCATGATAATTCACAGGTTACCACTAATTGTGGGTGCAAGGGTTACTATGAAACTTTATTTTGTAGAATGTGCAAATTCCACAGCTAGTGCTGCCCACCCCCACACATTTTTTCCTCAAGCGCATTCTTGTAACCTCTTGGCTTTTTCATGCCTTTTTAAAATGCTCCACATGATAAAAAAAACGTGTTATTTAGCGTCAATGATATTTCCACATTATGAGAAGAAAAAACAACCTGTTGGTTTACTCAGCCAATTATGTGTTCACATTAGGCTGCAGATGACTGTTAACGTGTCCCCAACCTAAACTGTCAGTCGTTAGGTTGAGTTCGCTGTAAGCTCTCCTCCAATCAACATAAAACCCTCTCACAAAACATTCCCTAAATTGACCATTTTTTTCGTACGTAAGAGGATTTCTCAGAATTCTGACTTTCATCTCAGAACAAAAAAAATCACTTTGTTATTTTCCTCTACATGTGGACCTAAACCTCTTCTATATGTATCATGGGTGTAAAACATCACACACACTAAACTGCTTCTTGTTGCAAGAGATCTTTTTCTGCAGTTTGAGGAAAAAGACAATTAATACGTCCAGATTCTTCCCACGTATAAAACATTAATGTAGCCTTAAAGTTATAAAGCATTGCTTCCCGACAAATCGACTTACCCTAGATTCCACCGGGTCCGTCTGCGCCGCGTTGCGGTTTTGGTCCGGCCTCCTCCGGGCGTCATACCCTACCAGGCGCGTTTCAGAAGCATTTCAGAAGCGGAGCGTCTTGCCTGCCGGCTCGCAGTTTTTGTTGATTTGGGCATATTTCCTGGACAGGCTACTTTGTACAGACAAAGTTAATAATAACTGTAATATTCCAGTTATAAACGACATGAATCAAAGATGTGTTGCTGTATTTTAGTGGTAAAAAATGCATTCATCATCATAATTATTCTATATATATAATTTACACAGTGCCTGTAAACCGGAGGAGAACGCTGGCATTTCTCCTCGAAAGACTACGGAGGGATAGGGTCTGCAAAATTAGTTTGTGTTTGTGTATATATCTATATATATATGCTATATGCTCTGAAAGTTCCACTTCCTGCCTGCCCGACCTTGCGTTACGGCTGCGCCGCGACAAAAATAGGATTCGATCCTAATTTTAGAGGAGCCCTGCGCCGAGCCGCTTTTGGGACGCTTCTGAGCCGTAACGCGCCGCGTGTGGTGGAATAACACCCATTGACTATAGTAGCCGCGATCGCCGTGAGCACCGCGGCGCAGCCGTAGCGTGCCCGTAACACGCCGCAGACGGACCCGGTGGAATCTAGGGGTTAAAATCCAGCACACAAAAACTGTAAAACTAGTTCAGCAGGAGATTTGTTCAAATGAAACTTTTGTCAGAATACTCACAACACCAAATGAATGACAGCAAATATCCACCAGCTCTGGACCAGAAAGCCTTCAGTTTTGTCGGCACATGTCTTTCGAAAATGTTTTGAGCCTACACTGTAAAACCTGACAAATTAATAGAACTCAAACATTTCTTTGAAACTGATTAGAAGTTTTTGAGTAATACTTATACCTAACTGAAATGTTTTAAGTTAAAGTATAATCTTATCAATTGAGTTCTATTTAGTAGTAATTTTCAAGGGACACAAACATATTGTTTGTAAGTTAAAGAAACATTATATATTAAGTTTCTTTTAACTAATAATTTGTGTTAACACTGTACGTATAAAGATCAAGTATTGTTGACTTAAAAATGTTCATATCTTTTCAACTAGCTATTTTGTTAGCACAGTACAAATGCAAATCAAATATATTTAACTTGAATATTGTATTATCTCTGAATAAAAAACTTTTCGCTGTATAAAACGCGATATGAATTAAAAACGTCAATTGATTAGTACTCAAAACTGACTGAATGTAGAGTACTTAAAACATTTTTTGAAACCGATTACATAAATATTTTCAGATAACTGTAACTCAAAATCCCTAAG